CTTGGCTGTTTAGTCATTTTATGATTAGTTTTCCTTTCTTTAATCCACAGCACAGCCATTTTGCTTTAAATGTGTTTCCTAATGCAGCAAGCATCAAAAAATTTGTAGACAACAGTTATGAGGTAAGGTAAGCCTCAGTGGGGAATTGAAGAGACCAGTTTATATGTTAACATTGAGAAATTCCAGTCTCTTTCTTTCTCTCTACTTGATGATGCAAGAGATCAATATTACCATCTTTTTCTGCATTTTTTTCCTAACTTGATGCTTTTTTCTGATAGAAACATTTGGAATTGCAAACAGTTGGCACCATTTTTCTATTTGAGACATTTTTGAATTCATTTCAGGTTGATCATCAGGCATACTTTTAGTTTTTAAAGGAGAGGGGATTTCAACCAAATAAACCTGATTTGAAGTGTATCTTGACAAGGAAGTTGTTGTTTAGCATTCAGTTGTCAGTCTTAAAAAATACAAACATGGTTTTGGGGATTTGCTCTTTTAAGGCGATTCAGAAATCAGTGGAGATTCCTTGTAACATTTCAGTTTTGTTGATGAATACTGAATTGCAATCATGATGCTGCATCATCTAAATTAGAAAAAAAATGTCATCCTTTGGCACAGGGTGGTGGGGGCATAAGTCCTTTTCAGGAGATATAAAGGATTGTAAAAACTTCTTGCTGATCGAGACACTTCCAAACAAGAAAATGGTTTTTTGAAGTGGTGTCTCATTAGTTCAACAGTAAAATGATGTGTCCTCATTGCCAATCTTGAAGCATGCCTAAATTCTTAAAGTTCATTCAAGTAGTTGTAATGAAAATATTTGTAGAACAGACAGAGGGAAGCCATGTCACATTGAAGAGGAAATAACTGGAGACAGGATGCCTGGTCAGAATTGATTGTATTACAGACCCTTCTTTGGATTTTGTCAAGAATTTCAAGTTGCACAGCAAGAGCACCAGATCAGATATAGCAACAGTATTCAATAGATAGATGAATGGTAGGTTTATAACTGTGCAAGATGGATTCTGATGCTAAAAAAACTTTTTGGCATGACACAGTGAACGAACCCTCATTGTAGCAATTGACTTGATATAGTCATTCAACTTTATGTCAGTGGAAAACGTTGAGGTCACTTAAAAAGATTTTAAACAATGTAACTGCAAGACTTGGCATTTCTTGACATGCTAGTCTCTCATTATGTATTGGCAGAAGTGGATACAAATTTATTGTTGAAAGATAGCGGAAGAGAGTTCCACAAGTGAGAAGTGCGAGAGAAGAAACTGTTAGCATAGAACTTACAGCTACATTCAGTCATTTTAACTGCAAAATGATGAGACTTTGCTGCCAATCTAATATTGTGCTTAAATTCATAAAGTCAGGGTACCATAGAGGAAAGTTCATCAGAACAATTACCATGAAAGAATTTATAGAAAAGGCACATGGAAGCTACATTACGGCAATGTGAAAGTGACTGAAACCAAGATGCCTGATCAGGACCAGTAACATTGCTGATTCTTCTTAGGATTTTATCAAGAATCTTTAAATATATAGCTGCAACATTGGAACATATGTATTCAAAGCTCGGATGAATGGTAGTTTTATAAATATGTAAGATAGATTCTGGTGTGAAAAATTCTCTAGCGCAACACGGTGAATCAACTTTTCTAGATGCAAACTTAGCAGGTGATTCAATATACTCTTTCCACTTCATATCAGCAGAAAACATTAGCCTGAGAAAATGCAATGGATTACTCTCCTAGGGGTTAGCATCAGCCATGCTGATTGAAGATTTATCTATTTGAATCAGTGAATTCCAAAATTAGATTTTGTACCCTTGAGACAGTTTGAAGGTTAGTAAATTTTCCTAGCCTGGGTCCTATAGCCTTGGGTGGCAACTGGTCTAGGTGATGAACAAATCTGAATTCAAAACCTGAGGGTCTAGTGTATGAACCAAGGACAACTCACTGTGATGAAATAGGACCAAGATACTTACCCGAGGCCATAATGTCTTACTTGTCTTGTTGGATTTGTCATTTGCAATTTAATCAAAGTGCATAGATTTTTTTTTTTTTTAAACTATCACTAATTTATGTGGTCAAAAACTGGAATGAAAAATAAGCTGCTCAGTTGAGCACAGACCGAATCCAGGACTTTGACTTGTTCACAGCAGGGTTCTTTGCGACTATCTACCACACCTATGCCATATTTGTTGGTCGAGGAGATGGGTGCTGCCAAGCTATCTGAAAGCCTACTGAAAAGATTATGAGGAAGAAAAATCCGTCTGTTTCTTCTGCTCTCAGTTTCCCCCTGACAACTGAAAGCAGTTGAGGTATTGACGATGAAGAGGATGAAATTTGTAAGTGAGGCTGAGAGAATTAATTCTTATTTTAATGCGGCTCAAAACTGTTCGCAGTGTGTTGATTTGATAAGCCTATCATCTCTTGATGCAAAAAGTATAACTCAAAAACTTTTCTGTAGAATTTTTTTTGCATAAAATTGTGGATAAGAAAAAAGAAGTTGTTGATGGCAACTACATTCGTTGAAATCAATTTTGCATATTTGTTCTGAATATACGAACTTAATTTCTATCCTTATTTGGATTCTGTGGTCATAAGTTGAAACAGAGTAAATCTTGTGGTTCAGTTGCCAAAATTATGTTTCATATTCTTTAAAAGTATATTATACTGAATTTGCTCCTTAACCAGCATGCCACCAAAAGGAAGACAACTCTAGAACAATGTAATTAATCTTTAGCAGAAAGGTTTGTAGGGTATACAACTTACAAAGGTTGTAGGGTTTGTGTGTATTTTATGTGGGTGCATGTCCAATATGTCAACAAAGATTGAAGCATCTAAAAACTTGACTTTCTACTCTGAACGTTTATTCTTTTTATGTTGATTGTAATGAAAAAATTTTCAATGTCTCTTAAGTATATTGGTTTTCTTTCTGGTCCAGAATTTAAGATAGGTAAGTATAAATCTTATATTCTTAGTCAAACTCAAGTCAGCCTTGCACCAAGTTGAAACAACCAAAGGAAAGTTTCTACTTAATCTATCGTTGGAAGGGTTAAACATTGTTATGGGATGTCCGTTTTCTTTTTCCTTGTTCAAAAATTAGGGTAAGTCAGTATTAATCATCATTACAATAGTTGCACTCAAGTCAGTCTTGTGCTGAGTTGGAACAACCAAACAGAAAGCTTGACCCTATTTTATAGAGTGAGGTTTTTGGAAAGCACATGTGGGTGCTATGCGATGGAGTCTGTTCCCCAGATCACTTGTTCGTGAGAAGAAGCTGTTTGAGTGGAACTTCTCACTGATAGAATACAAATAGAATGTAGATGGTTTGCTACAATGTAAGTGACATGGCTGGTCCTAGCAGCAAAGCTTAGACCTGGCTGGACCAAGAAATGTAGTTCATCTGACCCCTTTTCATGGAAGTAGTGATAGAGCAGTGAGAGATTCACCATATCCCACCTGAGAAAGAGAAGTTGGCGTGTGGAGAATAATTTGTCACCCACAAGGACTCCGAGACATTTTTGAACTCTGTCAAGGCTGGAAAGTGAGAACTGGGCAACTCCCACCCAAATATGACAACAGTACTCCATTTTCGGCCTGATCTGGCTCTTATAAATGTAGAGAATAGCATGAGGAGTCAGGTACTTACTGGAGTGGTACAGAGTCAACCACTTTACCTGCATCTTTAATTGAATGTGTGAGTTCGACTTCAAATCAGGTGTCAGTTTGAGACCAAATATTTTCTCAAGGCATGGTGCCTCTTTGTTCATTGTGACTGGTGTTAGTTTGGGGTCTGGAATGTAAATAGTTTGGTTCAACCTGCGGTGATGGAATATAACTAGTCCTTGGAGAGCCATGATCAGTAACGTCCTGGGGAGACAAAGCAAATGAAGAAGAAGAATCATTTGCCTTCTGCATCTCTGACCATTATATTTGATAGCCAAAATTACTGTACATCAACTCTACAGTAGGGCAGGTTGATTTTGGAAGCATGTTATTGCACTCAATTTAAAAGTTGGTGTTTCACTTGATAAATAATGACACAAAATATTTTTTTCCAAATTGTTACTGTTTTTTAAGGAAATGTGTTTAAATATTAAGCTGAGTTTCGAAATTGTAGTGTTGGAATTTCATTCTGGTGATCAGTGAAACCCTTAGAGCACAGCCTTATAAAATTTATAATTTACTGAAGTTTTACAAATTGTATATGGACAAGGTACAAGGACATTATTACTAGATCATTGTGACATCAAATAAGACTTTCATTTACTTCAAAGGGAAATTATATGGAACAATTTAGCTCTATTATGATGTAATATGTTATACATTGTAGTAGTTTTAGTTCATTTTCAATAAACAATGCAAATTTAAAACAGTTTGTCTTATAATTTGTACCTAACAGTATTATGGTGTTATATATACTTTTATCTATATTTTGTTTTTATTAATTATGGTCTATCAAATGATTTAACAAATCTTATTCATTAAGTAGCCTTTTTTTTTTTGTAATCTTTTACAATTTTTTTTTACATAGTTTTTACTTATTGATTACAGTAAAAAAAATGCTGATTTTGCTTGTGGTAATTTGTAATTAGAATTCTGGTTTGAATATATTTTCCATTCAGTGTATCTAATACAAAAAATATCAACTTTATTTGGATTTATTCTTGAAATAGGAAAATTATGAAGTCAGTTTGTAAGCAAAAAACCTGCAGAAATTAAGTATTTCTGTACATTGTTTTTCAGATGATCTTTAAAACTATCTACTCCAAAATTGTTAAGAATTATGAATTTAATTTTTAGTGTCAGTCTTTATCGAATCAAACCTCAGCTTTCACCCTGAGTGCAATGTCGATTTTCTAAAAAAGAAGTGAAAAATCAACTTGCTCTACTCTACAGCTCTACTGGTCGCTGCTGACTCTTTCTCTTCTTTTGATTTATTTGCTTCTTCCTTTCTTTCCTTTTTTTATTTATTCTCTTTCCTTCCAGTTCTCCAAAGTCAGTGTTTAATGGTAAGCGGCCAGTCAGCAGTGTACATCGGCCCAACAGTTATTCATCAGACCCACAATCTCCACAACACGAGGAGATTGTAAAATATTTAACAGATGGTAAGTAGTTACCCAACATTGAAACATTTTTGTGGTAGAAATAAACAGGAATTGGTCTTTTATCTCAATAAAACAGGTTGATGTAATATCTTCTGATGTACACTTTTATGGCCATTGTTCCTCACATTTCCATCTATGGGTTGAAAACGACTAACAAATGAGATTCTTTCGTATTGAGACCAATAGATTGCTTTTTTTCTTACACAAATCGAGAAAAATGTAACATTTAGTAACACTGAAAACTCAATCTCCCAGACAGAAAACATAAAAGTGTTCTACATAATATTCATGACTTAATCATGGCTTTTTATAACTACAGCCTTACGGCCATATCACTTTGAAACATTGGTTTTAGCATCATCACTGAAATTAAACAATGTGGACCCTGGTCAGTACCTCGAGGGTTAGCCACTTCAGAATACCAGATGCTATAACATTGGCTGTAAGCTGATTTTTTTCAGAATATATATATATATAGAAATTTCAGATACAGTACATTTGTAAAAGGACAATATGAATAAAGACAAAAGGAAAACTTAACTGAGCTGATATGTCCCATCCTCTAAGGTGGAATTTTTCAAACTCTGGGTCACAAGATAAATAAAATGGGTTGTGACAAAAAAAGAAAGAAAGAAATCACAAGTGAGGGCAAAGTGCAGAGCATAACTCTAAATTTTGAACAGCACTCATAAATCATCGCTAGTTTTTCACCGAGGTCATCTTGTATTATATTTTATTTTTAAAATATAATATTATATATATATATATATATATATATATATATATATATATATATATAGTCTGTTCTCATTGAGTTTATCTATTTTGTTTTGGTTTAAGAACAAAGGGGAATTTCAAATATTGAGCAAAAAGGCTCTTATATTGCTATTGCCTTTTATAACTACTTACTTGAGTGAACTGGGATTTTCCACATTAACTCAATTTAATAAGAGAAATGGAAACGGGCTTGACACTGCACCTGATATGCATGTAGCATTGTCTTTTTGTGTTCCCAATAGGATTCAGCTGCTTATGAACAAACAAGTGCATCCATCTCATTAAATGGCCTTTTTTTTTTTTTCAAATTTTATTTACTTTACCTTTGTGTCAGAATTTCCTTTAAATATATTTTTCTAAAACTAATCATTTTATATTCATACAAATGGATAATACAAATAGATTCATGTGATTCCAATATGTGTGGATCATAATAAATATATATATCTATAAATTGTCGATGCTAAATAAATAAACCTTATGAGCAGATTTATTACATGTAGGTATGATGGGTCGTAATCGAGGCCATATTTATAGCTGGTCAGGCGATCATGCAACTGGGGTCTCTTACTATGTGAATTTTCTTAGATAATTGACATAGCAGTTGCAAACAGAGGGAAATTTCCTCTATGAGATGACTTTGAAGTTTTTATTTGTCTTACATACCAAAACAAGTACCACAATGAACTAATGGGTAAATTTGAAGATTAGCGAATTCCAATAAATGAAGAGACTTGTAACTTTGAATAAACAAATGCAAATGCATATTTCAAGGATTTATTTTTATTTCAATGTGAGATTTTTTTTAGAGAATTTGTACTTGTGTAAAAAGATAATTTGTATATTGTAGTAAAAAAAAAAAAGGATCCACACCAGTTGATGATATCAAGCACAGAAATATAGTTTGTTCCATGCACTCTCTTTGTCTTGAAATGATGCCCTTTCAGACTCACTAATATGAAGATTTTTGTTAAGGAATTTCTGCAAACCTTTGATTTGACAGCATTGAACATTATAAAAGAGAAAAACACCCACTGAACAGTGGTATCCAGTGGAACTTTTAAATCCCCACAATCAAAAAACTTCCATACTCAGGATAATAAAAAGCATTATCATTGAATATTTCCTCCTCTGTAAGACAATCTTTTCATGTGATGTACCAGTTTCTAGGTCTGGCAGATGATCAAATGTTTGACATGTCAATTCATCCATCCACATTTTGAGCAATTATCACGTCTATACTCTCTAACATCTACTTTCAACCGAAGAAGTAATTTTGTTTTTTGTATATGAAATTTCTGAATAGCATTTTGTACAGTAATAAAATAAGTACCACCATAACCTTGTCTCAATTTATCAAATTCAGTTTCAATATAGTCAGTAGTAAATTCTCCAAGAATGACAAAATTGAACCTACTGTCTGTAAATATCAATTAAACCATTACATGTATATGCTTAATAGCCATACTAATGTCTCTTGTGAAGGATTTTATTCTCTTTCTTTGCTCTCCTCTCATTTGTTTTGCCATACAATGAGTCCCCGCCTATTTGCATTTCAGCATTCATGGTTTTTTCTTTAGAACATATGTACTTGTTATTTGCAGAACCCCCTAATATTTGCATGTTTTTCTGAAGAACATATGTACAAATTATTTGCTGAGAACTTGATTCATGTATTTTTTCAATAGAACATATTTAAAATATTCTTGTATTATTTTCCTGTTATTTAAGTAAATTAAAACATATAACAGTCCATTTTTCATGGTAAAATTGGCAGAATTGTACATCTTCATTGTAAAAAACAAATGCAAAAAACATGCGAGTGCTTGGGCTTTGTTCTTTGTTAGGAGCTGCGGCTGGGGTTTTTAAAGTGGCTTATGCTAAGTCTGGGTGCATCATCACAGTTCTGTTTTTTTTTAAAATGTTTTAAACTTTTATATATATATATATATATATATATATATATATATTTTTTCTGGAAAGCTTATTTTAGCCAATGCATCTCATCCTCTCAGCGACTTTATCAAGGCAAATGCAAGAATTTATTTTGTAACAATTATTTATATACAAGAGCAAAAATGTTATTGGTTTTTCAAAATATTAAAATTTAAGAATGCTCATAATTATTCACCAGGTTAGTTGAAAAGTCAGGCAAGCTATGGAAGACGATAAGTATGGCTACCCTGATGAATATTTATGAGTGTTTCTGAATTTAACAAAAATTGAAAAATCAATAACATTTTTGCTCTTGTATATAAATACTTGTTACAAAATGAAATCCTTGCATTTGCCTTGATAAAGACCCTTAGAACAGCATTTTTCAACCTTTTTTTTTTACTGCAACCCATAGCAAGAACCACATTTTGCATTGCAACCAAGGCTATACCTATAACAGGCTAGGAAATCAGTAGCAGTCACCACATGTTTAAGCTCATAACACTTTCATTGATCTGAAACATAGCAAATTCATTCTAAAAGGAAAGTCTCACACATTAAATTTATTTTAATTGAGGTTCTGTATTTTATCATACATTTCGATTATTATAAGTTTGTGAGTTTATTGTAAAAAGTCAAAATTGAATTTCATTGAGATCTATTTTTCCGCCATTATTAATTTTATTGAACTACACTCACTGATATAATGTGCTGAACTACTGTTATTATAAATTTGCAATTTTTGTTGAATTGAAATTTATTAGAATGTAGCAAATAATTTTTACAAACTTTTTCCTTCATAATAACAGCAATATCAAGATCATACCTATAACAGAGCAGTTTAAGAAATATTGTTTGAAAGTTTAAAAAATTACACTTTTTCAACTAACCGTCCACCGTATTTTAAAATCTCTCAATCTTGTTCCAGATTGATTAAGAATTATTTTAATTTCTCACATTTTTTATTCTGTTTGATATATTCAGATTAACTTTGATATAATAATTTTGTATGAACATTTTTCTGTACAATAAAAACATGTCCGTTGAACAGAGTTGCAAATTTGAAACACTTTTGAAACCTTTCTCAAAATATCTTTTTGTATTTCAGCAGCATTCAAAAAATTGTTCTTTTCTTTTTATCTCAGATGAAATAAAATCATCACAATATTCTTGATTATTTGGAATATATATTGAAGTTACACTCGTAGTGAACAGTGGAAATTTAAAAAAGCTGACTAACCACTATTTTGATTTATAAAACTTAAATTCTTTTAATTCGGGAAAACTTTAACCTGTAATTTTGTTAAAAACTTTTTTTTGAGTGCTACTGTTGGACATTATCTCCAGATAGTCTAAAGATGTTGTGTGACAGCCTGTCGAGGTAATTATAATAAGCAAAATACGGTCCAGATGTTTTATCTCCCAAAAGATCAAAACGAGAGAGAAAGATGGTTAAAAGTAATGCCAAGAGATAATACCCCTAACCACCTAGACACTATTGTTTGTGAAAGGCATTTTCCATCTGGTTATGAAACTGTGTTTGTTCAAGGAAAAAGAACAGGAAAAATCCTCCATCAATATTCAATAATTAGCCATCAAGTGTGATACCAAGTCTTTAGTCAAAACCAAGGATAACAAAAAATAAGTTCCATGTCTGTGCAGAATGATATGTTTGCACATTTCTTAGAAAAAGATAGAATTGAGAAATGTGTTCTGATATTGACCATCATGATTTGGCGCTAGCAGTTACCTGCTACAAATTGAACAATCAACAGTTCATTCAGTCTTCTCATTTTTTCACTGGAGGTATTCCAATATTTTTTTTGCTTAAAATTTTTGAAAACTTGACATTTAAATGTTACCATGCAGGTATATGCACACATAATTCTTCCCAATTGAAAAACAGAATGAATATGTTTCAAAATTGGTCTCAAATTGAGGAAGCAATTTGTTACCTTGCTAACTTGGAAAATTGAAACAGGTTTTGAGAAAACATATCAAAATTATGTCACCATGAATAGTTGGCAAAAAAGTTTATGAGTCGGAAATTCTTGTCCAGGTATTTAAATATTTTGCCACATCTCAGTCTCTTTATAAAAGAATTCCAGATGATTACAAATTACCCAGTGTGAAAACATTAGTGGATATAACATCAAAAGTGTCAAAGGTAGATGATCTGAATTTTCTTGGTGATGTGTTTAGATGGTAGATGAACAGAAAAAATGTATCATCCTAGTTGAAGTTTATGTTAAAGTCAGCTTACAGTACCAAGGAGGAAACTTATTTGATTTTGCAAAAGATTCTGAAGAAGAATTAGCAAAAATTGTATTGGGTATTATGATCAAATGTTTACATTAGTGGACTACAATTTTTGATTAAGATGATCCCAGTTGCTAAAATAAATTTGGAATTTTTCTTTCAGAATGTTAGAAATATTGTTGATTTCGTCAGTCATTTGATAGGTCATGCAATTGCAGTTATTTTTGACAATAATCGGACTAATCAAGCTTTATTCAAGAAATTTGATACTGTTGAAAATAAGTGTTGGGTTACTAAAAATGGTTTATACTTGCTTTTCATTTGCAATAATTGAATAACTGAGCTTTGTTTAGAATTGCTCTTTTATTCTGATGATAAAGAAATGACAGCAGAATGTAAAATAGTGAAACAACTTTTTGCACATGAAAAAAAAAATCAATTTAAGTTATGTTATCAAAGCTAACAGAAATAACAGTTCTTCTAAAACCAGTTGAGAGAGAAAAAGTTTCCCACTGTTTGAAAGTGTTTTGTGATGAGATTGTAACTGCAATGAAAACTCATCCATTATTATAGGATGATAAGACAAGATAAACTGTTATTTTCATCAAAGAAGTTTTTAAATTTTGGAAAATAGTGTAAAAGATATTTATGGAAGTGCCAAGAGAAATGATCCATGACTGGTATCAAATTGAAATGATGGAAATTTGGAATTTCTTGCAAATTTTGGAAGTACAGTGAGTCCTCTATATTCATGGGAGTTATTGACCTGTACTGGCAGCAAATAGTTAGAATCCTTGAATACTTGTAAACCCTGCTGAAAATGCTTATAAGTACCTATTTTCATTGTTAAAACCCCATATGCCTTAAACTTTCATCCTAAACACTTTAGAAACATTTCAGACCCTTTTAAAAACATTTTTGAAAAATAGTATTGGTGACCAAGCATTTAGCATATATTTTCTTTCATACATGCAATAACCATTCTTAATTATGCAGAGATCGATACAACTATTGAAAATATTGTATAAAATGTGTAACAAGACATAAAATATAAAGTTTAAAACATTTCCTAAAAACAGAACTGTGATGACGCCCCCAGACTTAGCATAAGCCACTTTTAAGACCGCAGACTCTTACAAAGAACAAAGCCTAAGCACTATGCATCTTTTTGCATTTGTTTTTTTACAATGTAGATGTATAATTCTGCCAATTTTTACCATAAAAATGGGCTGTTATATGTTTTAAATAACAGGAAAATAATACAAGAATATTTTAAATATGGTCTATTAAAAAATACACAAATCGAGTTTTCAGTGAATAATTTGTACATATGTTCTTCAGAAAAACATGCAAATATTCGGGTTTCCATAAATAACAAGTTCATATGTTCTCTCTCTCTCTCTCTCTCTCTCTATATATATATATATATATATATATATATATATAAGTTTGCTTAAAAAGTACCAACGAGGTCTGTCTGCTTAATTTTTCATGATATTTTCCAATTTTTGGATAAAGTTTTGAGTATTGTGCTTGAAGTTGTGGATAAACTTTGCAAAGTTCATATTTTGTTATTTTTGTTCAAGTATTTTTGACTTTCACGGCCATTATGAAGAATCGATGTGGTGTCTGTGTGGTAGGATTAAGGTTCCTTTGTCTACATCTTGGTAATCTTTGGGACATTTGAAATGACAATAGCCCAAGAATATGCAATTGGTCGCTCTCGTACAGGTTATCATAAGCCATACTGATAGAAGGCAAAAAGGATTCTCTCAGACAAAAGAGAGCAATTTCGTTTTGGAGGCATTAAAATTAACAAACCATTCCTTGCCTCAGTTAACAATATTTTCAGTCATTTTTTTGAGATCAGCTGCCAATCTGACCATGTTGAACCGATCAGACTTACTATAAAGATGGGAGTAGAAAATTGAGTCATCAGCATAGATACCAAGTTGAGAATTGATGACATCAGGAAGTCATTTATAAAAATGTGAAACAACAAAAGTCCAAGGATAGATCTAGAAAAGTGGCCATTCAAGCCAACTTTCATTATGAAAAATGCCCATGAATTCTTAAATATTCTTAACACTGATTTTATTTTTTCTTTCTCCTCCATTAAATCTGTTGTTTCTTTTTCCCCTCAGCTTGGAACAGAGTTACTCACGATATGGAGAGCAGACATCCACGCGACAACAAGGGTAAGTTTGCTAACTGCTTTATTTATTCCTAGATTCAGTTTTAAGCAAATTTAAATAATTAAATTTTCCGTTTTTATATTGCTTCTTAATGAAAGTTCTCATCACTTTGTCATATTATTTTTACCTGACCTTCACTATTGCAAGGTTCAACAATAGACTGACTCATGTGATTGACACCTTTTTATCTATCTTTTAATCTATCTCTATCAGTTTGTATCTATCTGTTGCAATCTGTAGCTATCTATCTCAAAATCTTTGTATCTATTTATTTAAATCTGTATCTATCACAATCTATTCATATCTATCTCAAACTTTTTGTATCTAGCAATTTAAATCTCTTTATATCTATCTCAATTTCTTCATATCTATCTAGTTGAATCTCATTTTTTTTGTTTTTTCATTAAGTATTAGTTTGTCAATAATAGCTGAATGAAATGTAATGTCTAAATAAAAAGAGAGTTCATTGTTTCATTTAATGTTTGTCATGGGAGTGGGGAATAAACCCTGAGCAATTGATAATCCTCTGCATCTCCTACACGGGAGGACAAAATTAACGACTATATACAGAGCATGGTTAAAAGTCTTTTGGGCCGACAGGAATCTCTCATTGCCACTATTAAGTATTTAAAGATGGCATGGTTTGACCACTTCATACAGCATAACAGCCTCTGCTAGACCATCATGCAAGGTACTATTAAAGGCAGACGGAAATGCAAGAGCGGGTCAGACAACTTCAAAGAGCGGACAGGCATGACAATGTCAGAACTCCTGATAGTCACTACTGAGAGATCATCCTGAAGGAGGTTGTCTGTTTTTTCTGTCATTAGTCCCCAACTGCCAACGAGAGAAGCAATCCAGGGAGTGATGATGAAGATGCTGCTGATGAATTGATAATCTCTCTTTATTGATTTCAGCTTGGAACAGAGTCACTCATGACGTGGACAACAGACATCCTCGAGGCAACAAGGGTGAGTATTTGTTTTATTTTGCCATTTTCTCAAGACTCAATTGTTATAATTGGAGAATGAAAATGTTACTAAATATTTTGTAATCTTTTCTGGATGAATGTGCCAAACTCTGTGGTCCCCCCCCCCCCAATTGCAAACTTTAAATCTTTCTGTTGTTTACCTAATGCTTGTTTTTCTAGGTTCCACTCCAACATGGTACAAAGAAAAGAGTCCAAATCCACAGGTGGAAAGTAAGTTAATATTTCTATCTCATAAAGGAAAAATAAAATAATTTATCTTTTTTGTGATATTTTTTTTTTTTTACTAATGTTTACTTAGTACAAAGGCCAAGAGCCACTCAAGACAGAGGGTTCCAGTGATGTGTTGTATGAGTGCAAGAAAGGACAAGAAATGAAGTTCTTGGGGCTATGCAGAAAAGATAATGACTAACTCTAGACTTGAAGAGGTCAAGATTTAATTAATGAATAGCATTTCAGAGTTCAGTCAGAGACGTTTAAAATAATAGTTTGGAAGTAGATTTTAGAAGGAACTGGAAACCCAATCCTAAGCAAGAAACAAGGGACAAACCTCTACTCCTGTTCAAAAGACTGAGGATTCTGAACCAGATGATAAGCGAACATATCTACTCCTATTTGGAGAGGAGAAAAAATAACTAGTGAATAAAATTTCAGAGTTCACATTAGACGTATAGAGTTGAAGTAGACTTTAGAAGGAACTGGAGACCCAATTCTAAAATGGAACAAGGGATAAACCTCTACTCCTGTTCAAAAGACCGGTGAGGAGTGTGAAGTGGTCGATACTTGAATCAGATATTTTATTGGTTTGTTTACAGTTTTGATATTTAAAGATTTCTTTTTAGTCATCTTTTGTTTGTTTTGTTTTTCAGACTTCAAACCTTTTGATCTGGAAAAATGGCATGGCCAGCGAACAATAGAGAAAATACGAGGGACCACGTGACTTGACCTCAGCTCTTTCCCTAACCCCCCCTGCCACCCTCTTCCAGTTTCTTTTTCTTTGTCTTTCTACTTTTTCACTCCACCACCACCACGACGACGACCACCTCCACCTCCACTGCCATTGTCACGACTGCCACCAACACCTCTACTGCTACTACTACCAACACTTCTCTGGCTGCCAACTGTGGCATCTTTGGGAAACATCTTTTTTTCCACTATGGCTGCTTTAACAGAAATCTTGACAGGATATACAAATCTCTTTTCTTTTCTCTTTGGTATTTCATTTTTGTTTTTTAAGTAATTTCTAGCTACTCATTTAGTGCACTTTCAAACCCAGACATTTCCTCCGGCAAGGACTTTTGTAATGCTGATTCTACAGGCTGTACATTTCATTTTAGATTTGAAGTTGACAACATTTTGATTGGCTTTTCATGTGGAAGCCGCTTGCTGAATGCAAATTGCAGTCATCTTTCCAAAGTCTGTTGTTTGCCGCAACAATCATAGCTTTCAGAAAGGCCCTCATTTGGCACGTTCAGATTCCTCACTTGAAGAGGACGAGAAACTTGCTGGTCCATTTTTAACATGGAGACGAGTATGGCTTGAATAAATCTTTTTTTTTTTTATATGCTGGTTGGGTCGGTGAGTGGGGGGATTTGCCATAACTAAAACTAAAAAGGAAAGTTTGTTAAGTACGACAACTAAACCTTCTGTTTTAAAACGCAGATGTTCATACCCATCAAAATTTTAAATTCTCTCTCTTTCCCTTCCTCTCTCTCTCTCTCTTTTTGCCAACAACTCCCCCACCTCTCCCAAAAAAAAGGAAAAAAACTGCTGGTGGCTTTGAGAAAGTGGCCCTGGTAATGGTTGATCTAGACAGACTGTCAGCCCCACCTCTCACTCTGACACTTGGATTTTTTACTTTCACTTCTACTACTACTCCTCCTCCTTCTTCTCCTCCTCCTCTGCTGCTGCTGCTGCTGCTATCTCTTCTGTCCTGTAGCCAATTTGATGTTTCTTGTGTTGACACGAAAATCAACGCTCGATGCCAATCCGCAGAAGAAGCCTCTACAACTGACGATTACTTTTGATTTCTAACTTCTTGTATTTCTAAAAATAAAAACATTGTCCTGACGATATTTCTAATTTCTTCACTCTTTTTTTTTTTTGCGGGGAGGGGATTTTTTTACTTATTTATTTCCATTATGCCTATTTTCACAATGAAAAGAATTTGTATTTTGGTTATTTTACGTATTTATTTTATATAATTTCACCCTAATCATGACAACAGAGCCACTAACATGCAGGTGGCGGGAAGTTACTAGGTGTGAAGAACAGAATTTTAAGAATACATTTAAATATTTGAAGGTCAAAGTTGACTGGGAATCAACAAGTCTTAAAAGAGTTCCACAAGTGAGAAGTGTGAGAGAAGAAACTGTTAGCATAGATGAATAAATGATTGCATCTTCATCATAGATAGCAAGTTCAGTGGCAAACCTGTTTTACTTAAAAATTGTGTCTTTTGAAATTTGAATTCATTTCTTTGTATTTAATTTTTATTTTAACTATTATCCAGGCTTCATGCATGATTTGCTGACAGCAAATAAGTAATGATTAAAATGACTTTAAAGACAAATTCACCTGAAGGTTTTAGATTCTTTTTGATTCTTTGTTGACAAATTTATTTGTTTGACAAATGTAAAAAATTTCATTGAATATAGATTTGATAATGCATTTCTCCTTTCTAGGCTTCAAAAGACCCAAAATCGAAAGAAAGAAATGTGTCTATATGTATTTGAGTGTACGCTTAAGTAATAAATCATTGTACTTTTTCCCTAAGCTGGCATTTCTTGTGATGATATAAGAAAGAAAGTCAGTGACTTAAAAAAGCTGTTCATATTTATTCTGTATCTTTTTAATTCTTAATTCATGTCGAAAGTTGTTAATATATTTTTCTCAGCTGTTTTGTATCGAACTAAAGGCAAATCATCCCATTTTCAGAATGGCCTGAAGAAAAGAAAATGTTTATCATTTCAAATTTGTGTCGTCATTCTATGTACAACCACCATTTTTGAGCACTCCATAAAAGTAAGTGATTGGGTCCTTCGACATGGTGTAATGATTAACGAGTTTGTCTCATTTGAACAATTATATATAAGTAATGAGTTTGATCCTCACTGGGTGCCCCACACTTTTAGCCTTGTGCTATATCTAAGCTATGCATAGAAAAACATTTTAGGCACCTTAATGTGATGTAGTGGTGAGTAAGCTTGTTTTGCTAGATCAATTATGACTGAATAGTGAGTTTGAACCTCACTGGTTGCCCCATACTTTTGGCTTTGTGCCACATCTAAGCTATGCTTATAAAAACATTTGGGCATTTTGACGTGATGTTTAGCAAGCTTGTCTTGCTAGATCAATTATGATATTTCGCTATTTTGATATTTATATTTTATTTTTCATTAGAAAAGTTTCATCGGAAATTAATTTGTTTAAATAAAAAGACAAATAGACTCCACCTCATCCTTTGAATAGGAGCAGAGGTTATTTCCCCTGTTTCCTGTTTAGGATTGGATTTCTAGTTCCTTCTAAAATCTTCTTCATTCTCTTCCTCTCATAGTAGCCCCTTGCATCTTAATGACATTATTACCTTGCTTAGAATGAATTGATTGATGTGTTTTCTGTGGAATCTCAATCTTTTGGAGGTTATTTAAAGCCAGATAATATTTTTTAAATTGTAAGATTTTTAAGATGATAATAATGGTTTTGTGATAGTGATACAAATCTTACTAATCAATAGATGAGGTGGATACCTTTCCCATGGGAATTGAAACTTAGCACTCTGATTAACAATTCTGAGCCATTATCCATTACACCACCTGCACATCCAAGCTTGCAGAAACTGGTATTCACAAGCAGTCACTCATCTACATACTGACAAGACTCAATGTTGCTTAACTCTGGTGATTGTAGAGGAACTGGGGTTTCAACTGATGGCGGTAAACCATATGACGTGTACATCCAAGCTTACAGGACCTAGTATTCCCAAGTGGTCGCTCATCTAGTTACCGATCAGACACGACGTTGCTTAACTTCGGTGATCTTATGGGAACTGATATTTCAACGTGATATGGTCATAAGCCACGTTGTAAAATGAATTACACATGCTGTAATGATTAACAGGCTTGTCTTGGAGGGACATTTTTATTAATACATAAAGAATGAAAATATAAAATAATAATAATTTATAAATATCATAAATAAAATAAAATTAAAACTTTGTTTCAAATAAAAGCAAAATAATAAAAGTTATCCCAGCATGCAACAGAAAACTTAGCTGTCAGATTGTTTGCACCTAAAAACTCACTCTTTTTGTTACGGTCCCTAAAAGCGTCAAGACGTCTATTTCCTTTTTTCGTCATCTTGCTTGTCATAAAACGAAGTAACTTCACCTATTTGCAAACTGTACTAGGCTCCCTCACTTACGAACAGCTTTACCTCTTTCAGCAAATAATAATTCTATTCTACTAGATATTCGTATACGGTTACCACCATATCTTAAGTAGCATGTTCCGTATATCTTACATGACCATGGTCGTTATGTTCTTGGGTATATGCCTGTAGGTCAGTGATTCTTCCACACATTTCTTTGTACATCTGGTGATTGCTGTAGTGTCTTGAAGTGGCGATTACTACCGTTCCCCTTAAGTTCTGTTTGCGTCATCACGTTTGTTTCTACCGCTTTCTTGGGTCGTCCTTCCTCTATTACATACAACCTTAAATCACATAGAACGAAAATACACACCCTTAGTCCACAGAGTGTTATTTCTTTGTTCGTTTTTATTCCTGTGAACACAAAGCTATCCCTGATTGTATGATGTGAATGACCCCCAAACCTTCCTCAGGTGTATATTGATCTGGATAACCTATAGGGAATTCTGAACTGAACCCTTTCTTTAATATACAGGGGTAGAAAGAGAACAGCTTACTCCATCCCCTAGATTAAATAAAAGGTTCTGTTTAACAGATAAGGTCAAAGAAGGCTTCCCAACGCAGTTAAATATCTATTCCCACGTAAAAATATTGGAGTAAGGGAGATAAATCAATTTTTGGTAGTAAATGAATGCAAGGTTACTTCCCTTTACACATTTTAATAATTTATATAATAAAATAAGGTGATTTTTTTTTAATCAATTCAACCCAAGCAAGGCGATAATGCCATTCAGACGCAAGGGGGCTACTGGGAGTGAAACAGACTGAAAAAAAAAAAACAACTTTAGAAGGAACAGGAATCCTAATTCTAAACAGGAGGCAAGAAATAAACATCGACTCATGTTCGAACGACTGAGGTGGAATCGATTTGTCTTTTTATTTAAAGTTTCAAATCAGTTTCCGATGAAACTTTTTTAGTGAAAAATAGAATCAAAATATCAAAATGCTGTAAAATAAAATAAAAATGGCAGAAAAGATTCAAAATTAGAAGTAAAATGTCAAAATATTTCGAAAGGAATAAGAAGCATAATTTTATTTTGTTTTTAATCAACTTATCAAGGAAATAAAGCCACTAAGACGCAATGAAGTACTTGGAGTGAAAAAGAATGAAAAAACTTTAGAAGAGCAAATACGAAAAAGGAAACAAGGGATAAACCTCTGCTCTTGTTCAAAAGACCCGTGAGGATTGTGAAACGGGCGATAGGTGAATCTGTAGACTCGTCTTTTTCTTACCTATCACCCCTAGCAAATGAACAGTCTATATCTTACGCCTACGTACGGAAAACTTCAACCAATAAAAACCGAGACACAATAATCTGAAAGTTCACGTGCAAAAAACGAAATTGCGCCAAAACTCCGTGAGCCAATTTCGGATTTTCAGGACTTATAAAAGTAAACGCCGACTGCCCCAAGCAGTCAGTAACGAACACCCACAGAGAAATTGCCAACATACTCCACGTCACTCCACGTCACTCGAAATCACGATTTTACCGCGCAAAGGTACATCAACGCAGACTCACTCACAATTAAAACTCAACCAACTCTGTGGACATCGATTCTCAAACATTGCTTATCTAAAGTGAATTATATTCACTATCTATTAAGCAACATCAATGTGCGAACGACCTTAAAAACATTACAGTCAAAGGTAGATCACTCCTTAAGAACTCCTTCTAAAAAGACACTTAATATTAACAATTTTAATATCAACACAAATCTAAAACGGACTGCAAATGAACGAACGATTACAAAGAGAGACATTCTGAAATCTAAAACATCATACACATTTTGCCAACATAACATATACCAATTATCCTACTTGTATATTGTTTTGAATTGTATATAAATGTTACATTAGTTTCTAATTGAATATGTCTTGTTCTTAATCGTATTTTAAATTTCGTTTATTTATTTGTTGTGGATGCAGAAAGTCACGCAACCTACACAAATTCCTTCTGATTCTTTCAAGCATAATTAATAAATTCTGCACATCCCCAACAAACCAATCTATTCCTGTTGAGGGAAAGAAAGTAAATATCTCAGAGTTCAGACGGAGACGTCAGAAGTATAGAGTTGAAACAGGCTTTAAAAGGAACTGGAAACCTAACCCTAAACAGGAATCAAGGGATAAACGCTTACTCCTTTTCAAAAGACCAGAGAGGAGCGTGAACCGTCCAAAAGTCGTACATATCTGCACTTATTGATATACATCAAAACACGAAAAAGAAATCAAAATAATTTCAAAACGGTACTAATATTTCAATATTTGTAATGTTTAATAAATTGTAAATATCTCAAATATTTCAAAAAAATATTCAAACGTCCTAAATAATTTAACATATAACGAATATTTTAAAAATGTTTGAAAAAAAAAACTTATATACTTAGACTATTTCTAAAAAATCCATCAAAAAAGATCGAAAATAATATAAAAAAATATAAAATTAAATAAAAAAATCCATAAATATTTTGAATATGTTATAAAAAAATTGAGTCACTTTTTAGCAACTGTGTTTGTTTGTCCAGATTTTTTGGAACTCTCCCTCAGGATTCGAACAGTCTGGTAAAACGAAACTGAATCTGTGATCCATCCCTCGGCGATAATGCCACTAGAATGCAAGGGGAATGAAAGAAAATGAGAAGACAAAGAATCGGGTGGATTAAAGAAAGGACAAAAAAGAAAAAAGAAATAGGTTCAAGAAAAAAGAAGATGGCGATTGATGTATTTAAATGTATGAACATTGTAGTTATGAGGGAAGCAAGAAATTCGATGTTGGTGCCACAGGTAAGAAGTGCGAGAAAAGAAACTGTTAGAGTAGAAATGGCGTTGTTAGTTCAACAGTAAACCGGTGAAACCTAGTTGCCAATCTAGTGACACGCTTAAATGCATGTAGCCGAGGCACCAGGGGAAAAATGCTTTTCAGAGCAGTTGCCATGAAAATATTTGTAGGACAGACAGAGGAAAGCCAATTCATGTCGGTGGGAATGTAACTGGTGTCTAGATGCCTGTTCACGATCAATTGAATTGCAGAAAATTCTCTTGCTTTTATTGGTTGGAATGAGACTGGTGTCACGATGCCTGGCCAAGATCGATTATATTGCAGACCCTTCTCTGCATTCTGACAGTGGGAAAGTGACTGGCGTCTAGATGCCTTGTCAGGAAGGATTATATTATAGACAGATTTTTGAATTTTGTCGGTGGGAAAGTGACTGGGCTCGAGATGACTTTTCAGGATCGATTGTATTGCAGACATTTTTGGGGGTTTTGTCGGTGGGAAATTGACTGGTGTCGAGATCCCTGGTCAGGAACGTTTGGATTGTAGAACCTTCTCTGGATTTTGTCGGTGGGAATGTGACTGGTGTCGATATGCCTGGTCAGGCTAAATTGTATGGCAGACTCTTCTCTGGGTTTTAGCAATGGGAAAGAGACTGGTATCGAGATGCCTTGTCAGGTTCGATTGTATTGTAGACCCTTTTCTGGATTTTGTTGGTGCGAAAGTCACTAATGTCGAGATTCCAGGTCTGGATCGATTGTATTGCAGCCCGTTCTCTGTATTTTGTCAGTGGGAAAGTGACTGGTGTCGAGATGCCTGTTCAGTTCGATTGTATTGCAGACACTTCTCTGGGTTTTGTCGGTGGGATAGTGACTAGTGTCGTGATGCCTGTTCAGGATCGATTTTATTGCAGACCCTTCTCTGTATTTTGTCGGTGGGAAAGTGACTGGTGTCCAGCTGCCTGGTCAGGATTTCTTGGAGTTTAGCATCTGGAAATATAACACTGGGACAGTGAACAGCGTTCATGAAAATTTGCAACCTTTAAAAAGCTGCCTTACAGAAATTCAGTCAATAGCAAATGCAGATCAAACCCTGGCAGAAATTAGTGTTTTTAAAGTCAATAAATATATAATAGATTTAAAAACTGCTATTTTAGAAGTAAGGAACGCCTTCAAGATTCTTATTGGGAGAAATCAATCAAAGGAACTTTATGTGACTGCATATTTGTTGATATAATGGACAGATATTCTTCCATTAAACACTTAGTAGTTGCTAAATTGTTAAACAAGAAAAGCTTTACTAGTTTTAAGAATGAACTACCTACAGAAGAGATAATATTGACCACTGAAAAATATTCCACAATTGACAAAGTAACGCTTGAAAATTAAGTAAAGTATTCTATAGTAGATCCGATATGCATGAATATTGCAAATTAATTGCCTTGTTGAAATTTATCTTGGAAAATATTCTATATGGTGTTCTTGTTGAAATTACGAAACTGATCAAAATCCTCTTGGCAATTCCTATGACAACATCAGAGCCAGAACATTGCTTTTCAACACTGAAATGAATAAAAGAACTTTTCTAAGGAGCACTGTGAATCCTGAAAGACTAAATGCACTTGCATTTCTTTCAATGGCGAAAAATTACAATAACATTCATCCAGGGATCAAGGAGAAAATTCTTAACCATTTTGCTCAAAGTTAAACTAGAAGAATGGATTTCATTTTTAGATGAACGGATGAAGCTTGAACTGTAATAATTTATAAGTAAAAAATAAAGAATTTCGTTTAGGATATTATCAAGTTTATGTGTAAATTTTCTTTACAATAGCTAAAAATATTCTGAAGCAGCACCTCTGCTAATTTTAGCCA